CCCGGGATGGACTACAATCTCAGGTTTAGTTTACCGATTTGTATTGAGATTGTAGTCCATCCCGGGAGGGCGGAGCTTGGAGCGGTGACTACTTTACCACACACACAGGGACCATGGGGAACAGACGTAGCCCCCCCTCCAGAAGGAAGGACAGTGTCAGGGATGATTGGAGGATCTCCAGCCGAGTGACACACAAATAAGAGGCATTGAGGGGAATCAAAACCGGAGCAGCTGTGCACGGCAACCAATCAGATTCTCCGTCTCATTTTCAACTCTTACCTGAGCAAACTGAAGAGGAAACTGATTGGTTGCTGTGCACAGCTGCTCCAGTTTTGATAAATTCTCGCCATTGTTGTTCGGGGGCTGGGTGGTAGGGATGTCCTGATATCACTTTTTCCAAGACCAAAAACTTCTCCCTCCTCACGTACTCGCCGATACTTTTTCTTAAAGGGACAGGTGACATTTTCGGTTGTAGATTGCCAGCGACTGCCCAGAGGACCCCCACCACGTGCAGCATGGCAGGTAAGGGGGCCATAGTGTAAGCATCAGTGCCATGTATCGGGGCATTTTGACAAGTACTCGCCCTGTAGCAGGACATCCCTACTGGGAAGAATTTTTAGGGTTGCATGGGGGGGGGGGGGGGCAGTACATCACCCATCACACCATGCAGGGCTCAGGTTTACATTGGGGGTATTTATTAAATCCAGAGCAGCCGTGCACAGCGACCAATCAGCTTCAATCTTCAGTTCATTCAGTTAAGATCCGAAAATGAAAGCCGAGAAGCCGATTGGTCGCCGTGCACGGCTGCTCCGGATTTGATACATTTCCCCCCCTATGTATCTAATCCAGAGAACATGAAATATAACCCGCCGCAGGTCCTCGGTCTGTATACGCGGCGGCGGCGCTCTCTGGAGATACTTTGTAACTTTATTACTTCCTATGAAATACTTTTTGGGAACAACGAGGAAGTGTGAAGATCGATGACCCGGGAGGAACCGCAGAGCCCAATCCCCGCCTACAATTAATCAAACCATCCGGCCCAATTAACCCCAAAAAATAGAACAGCCACCTGGAGACCCCCAAAATAAAAGCAGAACCGGCCAAAACCGAAAAGTGTCGGGCAATCGGAAGACCCCAAAATGGATACAAGGCCGGCAACCCAACATATAAAAAACATTCCGTGACCGTCAGAGACCCGAAATAAAAAAGGAGGCGGAGCCGGCCAGAGACCCCAAACTATCAGCAGCATCTGATGGAAGACACAAGGTTTTTGTTTTTTGCACCTTTAACCACCTCCCCCGAGGGGCCAAAACCGCATGAAAATGCACAATGATGAACGCACCGATAACGACCAGAGACGCCGACGCTCATGTGCACCTCACCGCCCCGGGCGCCATTAGGCAACAGCAAAAGAAATTCCCAGAACCCTCACCGGCCTGCGAAGAAGATATTGTAACTACCAAAAAGGTTAAAAACAGGTTTTAGCGTCAGGCCTTGCGCAGAATAATATGTGGAAGCCGCGCCGCCTGGCCGAGGACCCTCTGGGCGCCATAGGGGCACTGACACGACTTGTGGTAACAAATTGCGTCACAAAACTTAATTCTCAGCCCCAAATGTCTCTTTAATGTCGCCATGATAAAGATAAACACTCCCCCATAGAACAGCTCCTGAGTGATAGTTTCAGGGACCGGTGTCCTCATCTGCTATCAGCAATGCTAGACACAGCGCAGCCCCTGGACCTCCCCCCCTTCCCTCATACACCGACCTGGATCTGCCCCTTGATCTTGCTGGGTGACCCCGGCATGATATCGGCCACGTTCAGGCAGTTCATGTTGTCGGAGAGCGCGGGAAGCGGAATGAGGAGCGGGAGCGGCGCGATCCCTCTATACACCTCCGAGATTCAAACAGCCGCGCGCGCGCTCGGGCACAAAGCCCGGCCAATCGGAGAGCGGCGGGGCGGCCCAGCCCACCGCCGACAGCCAATCATCGGGCCGCGCGAGTCAAACCCCTCCCCGGTGAGGGCGGGCGTGGGCGTGATTGACATCCGCCTGACAGCTGCGTATTTTAGCGCCAAAAAAGCGGATGTGAAACTTCCGGATTGTTTTCTTTATTGGCGCCAAAAATTTGTGTTTATTGTATCAGATGATTCTTCATATTTCTGAGTCTCGGTGACCGGAGAGGCGCCTATCTATATCAGAGGAGGGGGATGGGACCGATCAGCGTCTCCCTCCGCCATGTCATTCACACCGTGAGGGGGATTTATCGAATCTGGAGCAGTTACCCCACGGCGACCAATCAGCTTCTCTCTTCAGTCTGTTCAGTTCAGATTTGAAAATGAAAGATAGAAGCTGATTGGTTGCCATGAACAACTGCTCCAGTTTTGATAAATTCCCCTCCATGTGCGGCAAACGTGCGCAACGTCATTATTTGTTAATGGAAACCCAAGCGCATGGGAGGAAGACGCGGAACGCATGTCGCTGACTTTGCTGCACGATCTACTTTTCCTGCGTCTGATTTGCATTGACATCAGAGGTGACGTGCGTCAGAACAGGCGGGAAAAAAAATACTGGTGTTCCTGCTAACGCCAGGGTGTGAATGGGGCGCTATACTTGCACGCAGCGATTTGCGTTACGTGCATTGTGCTGCGCCACTATTTATTTTGAATGCACTATAGTGACGCAGCATGTTGCAGAGATGCATGAGCAGCCTGATGAGTGTAAGGTGCTGCGTTAAGGAAGGCTCTATCTAGAGGCGGAGCCAGCTGTGCCCTCCCCCGTCCATTCCTCCGCACTGGGGGGGGGGGTCCCTGTGGGGAGCGGTGATTGTCAGTCCCTACTCTCTGCAGGGAGAAGTGAGCGAACGCCGGTATGTGTTCCCGATCTACAGAGCCGACCTGTCACAGTCTCATTGTCACACGTCGGCTCCGACTATGAGGTGTGATTTTCACTCATCCTCCTTAAGCGTAACCTCCCCCTCCGCAGCGCACATGCATTGTAGCGTTCGGTGTGAATGAGCCCCCAGTATATAAACGCACGCCGACATTCACATCAATACAAAACTGAAATCATTTATTATTACTATTATTAGTACAGATTTTGTTTTCTGAAAACTCTCATTGTAAGTGAACAGACAGCGCGGGGGTTGTAGAAACGCCGCACGAGGAATATTTGTTTTACATTAAACAGTCAGGGGTCTATTTATAAACAATTTGCAGCGCCATCGTCCCTCTGTGTCAGGGGCGTAACTAGAAACCACAGGGGCCCATAGCAAAATTTAGTATGGGGCCCTGTGGTTTCTAGTTACGCCCCTTGCAGAGCCCACATAGCTCACCTGAGGGGGACCCTGCAGAGCCCACCCTAGACTCTCTATGGTGGGCTCTGCAGGGTCACCCTCAGGTGGGCTGGTCGCACTCCTTACCTGTCCGCCTCCTCTTCGTCCACGCTCGCTGATGGGCCCCCGCATCCTCCTTCTCCACTGG